CAAGCGTCAGTAATTCAGAATCACCTGGAAGCTGAGTCTGGGCCTTACTCCAGAGCTTCGGAGTCAACAGGCCTGGCGTGGGGCCCAGGAGTCTGCATTTTTAGTGAGCTGATGTAGATTGCTGCCATGCTATGAGATTCACGGGCATCAGACAGCGAGGGGACTGGAGGGGGGAAAGGCTTCTAGTTAAGGGAGAAGGGACAGAGCTGGAACCAGGGCTCTGCCTTCCCATCTGGCCCAGCCCTCCAGACACTCCGAAGCAGTTCAACTATCTTCCTTGTCATCACCAGGCTTAGCTTAGTATGTACATAAACTGTTCATAAAGAGCAGCTCTCTCTCAGAAGAAGGTAATAACTCTTTTGCTTGCCTGCCTGAAATGGGTAGAAAGAACAGAGCCTTTATAGTCCACAGACCTGGGTTTGAATCCTGGCATTATCACTCATAGGATGTGGCTGTCTCACCCTGAGCTGTTATTTAAACTCCTTGACTCAACTTCCTCACCCTTAGAATGGGAAGGGTGGTGACAAATTAAGACATATCTCATTGATATGTCCATATTAGACCATGGTTTTGGTCTGGTGGACAGTTAAAAGTTGTGCCAAGGGAAGGCTGGGCTGCCATGAGATACCGTGATTGGCTGGCAGCCAGCGTGAGCGGCCGACAGCTGCCATGAACTTCCGTGAGCAGCTGTGAGCGGCTGTCCAGTAGCCGGCAACTGATTGCCTTACCCAGGAAGAGCACAATGATAATACCAACATGGGCCAGTGAAGCGACGTCCTCCACAACTAGACTGAAGAAAAAAAGGACAGCAACTTGTCTGTTCCCCTTCCCTGATTCCGCAATGCTGTTCCCCTCCCCCAATTCCCCAATAAAATCTTTTTAAAAACCCAGCTCTTAAAGTAGGTTTTCTCATGGTCATTTTACAGATAAGGAAAATAAGGTGCAAGAAAAAAAGTTAGACAGTTTACTCAAGGTCATATGGCCAGTAATGTAACCAAACCGGAATCTACGCGTTACACATGACTCCATATTCCTAGCTCTTAACCACCATATAATGCTGTCCCATGATTCTTGAGGGCCCCCAGATGGCAGCAGGGCAACTCTGCAACCAGAGAAACTCCTTGCAAGCCCAGGAGGATAGGCAGGTTCAAATGCCCATTGATCCCAGGGAGACTCAGAACTATTTGCCAAGACTGACATTCAAATGATTGTGACCCTCCTCCTCACCAAGTTCTCTACTGACTGTTGTGATTTGTCATTGTACAGAATGATTGTGAGAGGGCCTCCTAGGCGATTGTGTTCAAACACACACACACACACACACACACACACACACATTCTCTCTCTCTCTCTCTCTCTCTCTCTCTCTCTCTCTCTCTCTCTCTCTCTATATATATATATATATATATATGTAGCCACCATTTTCTATTTATACACTGCCTGTGTGAAGAAAGGAAACAGACACAGTTAATTCATAGGTTCTTCAGTGGACTTTGGCTGTCAGACTGTTAGCTCTCTCTCCCACATAATCCAGGAATGATATTCTCTCCTAGGGTCCTAGATTGACAACAGTGCATGTCCACCACTGTCACCCATATGAGACACCAGGTCATTGCAAAGCTCCTTCATCTCCCCTCCAGACAACCGGGATCAGTGGCTGAGCTGAAATCCTACTCTCTGTAATCCCCACCTTTGATCCTATTTTTGCCATCTGAAGCCATATACCTAAAAGTGTATTTCTTTTTCCAAATAAAAAGAGAAAGCCCTTTGATTATTAAAGAGTGTTATCTACCTCCCCTCTCCCCTATTCATTTTCTCTTCTTCAGGGCAAGCATAAACATATCTTTAGGTGACCTGGTTTTGGGTCTCTTCACTGCCCAGATAACCATCTTCTAAACACCAGTTGGTCAGTGTCTCAAAATGTGCTCTTCTACTCAAGCACATTAAATAATCTTACCTTCAAAGCTCTGTCCATATGAGCTATTTGGAGTATGCTAGAGACCAACACGGGTTTCTTCTGTCCTCCAAAAAGTCTTGCTCATCTAATACCATTATATGAGATATGTGCAAAAGCATTAGCCTACTGCCTCGCTTGTAGTACTCGGGAAAAGTTTATGTCCTTCCCTTTCCCCATTAAAAACAATGGGGAAAAAAATCCTCATGCAGTGTGCCTGTCTTCACACCTTTATTTTCCCCATCATTCTCCTCCCTTTGAATTACTACTAACAAGAGAGAACTTTATTGTACTTCCTATTCTTTATTTTTTTAAATAAGGAATTTCCCCCTTTTTTTCCCTTCCTCTGGAATATTTAATCTACCTGGAAGAAAAATGAAAATGCAACATTTAGAAAACCTCATGGCAAAAAAAATGTAAACTTCCTTGTCCAGCTTTCTCACTTTTTTTCTGTCTCAAGAACCATACCAAATACGTTTTACTGCTTTCTTCAGATATGTTCCTGACATTATTTTTTTCAAGCTATATAAGTGATTTAATAGCTTCTATATTAGAGTTTAATTAAGGGACATCATCCAAAAAAACAGTCACATTATTAAAGAGAGAAAACTATAATAAACATTCCTCATGAATTTAGATGCAAAAATTCTTTAAAATTTAGCAAATAGAACCCAAATGAATAATATAATCAAGACCAAATGGGGTTTATCCCAAGAATGCAAGGTTGGTTTAACATTAAAAAAAATCAATCAACATAATTCACCATATTAACAGACTAAAAATGAAAAACATATGATTATTTCAATATATATAGAAAAAGCATTGGACAATACCCAACGTTCATTCATGTTAAAAACTCTCAACCAACTACAAATGAAAGGGAAGTTGCTCAACTGAATAAAAGGCAACTATGAGAAAACCTACAGTTGACAGTAGGCTATAAACTGATTGCAAATTTCCTATTCTGCTCCTCATGTGGGGAGCACAGGGGAAAGACTAAATGCTTTCTTCCCAACATAAGGAACGAGACAAAACTTCTATTCGACATTGTACTGGAGGCTCCAACTGATATAATAATGAAATAGAAAGATTTCATTTATATAAAATTATAGAAAATGGAAACTAGTCTATGTGACAGAGAGCAGATTAGTAGTTGCCCGGGGTCAGGGTTAAGGGGAGAGGCAGGAGGAGAGATTCCAAAGGGGCTCGAGGAAGCTTTGGGGTTTGGAGGTGATGGATATGTTCATTATCTTGACTATGGTAATGTGTTGATATGTCAGATTTATCAAATTGTATCCTTTAAATATGTGAAGTTTATTGTATGTCATTTATAACTCCAAGCTAATAGATTATAT